GTTTATCTTTGGCATTTTATTCTTTTTGATGCAATTGTAAATGGAGTTGTTTTCATGATTTCTCTTTCTGCTAGTTCATTGTTAGTGTACAGGAATGCAACAGATTTCTGTGTATTAATTTTGTATCCTACAACTTTGCTGAATCTAGTTATTAGTTCTAGCAGTTTTTTTGGTGGATTCTTTAGGGTTTTCTATGTATAATATGTCATCTGTAAATAGTGAGAGTTTAATGTCTTCCTTACCAGTTTGGATGCCTTTTATCTCTTTGTATTGTCTGATTGCCATGGCTAGGACCTCCAGTACTATGTTGAATAAAAGTGGGGAGAGTGGGCATCCTTGTCTTGTTCCTGATTTAGAGGAAAAGCTTTCAGCTTTTTGCTATTAAGTATGATGTTGGCTGTTGGTTAGTCATATATGGCCTTTATTATATTCAGGTATATACCCTGTATACCCATTTTGTTTAGAGTTTTATCATGAATGGATGTTGAATTTTTTCAAATGCTTTTTCAGCATCTATTGAGATGATCATGTGATTTTTATCCTTCTTTTTTGTTAATGTGGTGTATGATGTTGATGGATTTATGAATAATATACCATCCTTGCATCCCTGGAATAAATCCCACTTGGTCATGATGGATGATCTTTTTGATCTATTTTTGGATTTGGTTTGTTAATATTTTGTTGAGTATTTTTGCATCTATGTTCATCTGGGATATTGGCCTGTAATTTTCTTTTTTTGTGGTGTCTTCGTCTGTTTTTGGTATTAGAGTGATGGTGGCTCCATAGAATGAGTTTGGAAGCATTCCCTCCTCAACTTTTTGGAATGATTTAAGAAGGATGAGTACTAGCTCTTTAAATGTTTGGCAGAATTTGGCTGTGAACTATCTGTACCTGGAGTTTTGTTTTTGGGGTTTTTTTGATTACCAGTTTGATTTCATTGCTGGTAATTGTTTTGTTCAGATTTTCTGTTTCTTGCTGGGTTTCTTGGACAATTGTATTTTTCTAGGAAGTTGTCCATTTCTTCTAAATTGTCCAATTCATTGGCATAGAATTCTTCATAGTCTTCTTTAATAATTTTTTGTGTTTCTGTGGTATCCATTATTCCTTCTTCATTCTGATTCTGTTTATCTGTGTGCACTCTCTTTTTTTCTTGATAAGTCTGGCTAGGGGTTTATCTATTTTGTTTATTTTCTCAAAGAACCACTCCTGGTTTCACTGATTTTTTTCTATTGTTTCATTTTTCTCTATTTCTGGTCTGATTTTTATTATGTCCCTCCTTCTACTGACTTTGGGTTTCATTTGTTCTTCTTTTTCTAGTTTCTTTAATTGTGATTTTAGACTGTTTATTTGGGATTGTTCTTATTTCTTGAGGTAAGCCTGTATTGCTATGTACTTTCCTTTTAGAACTGCCTTTGCCACATCCCACAGATTTTGGGCTGGTGTGTTTTTGTTTTCATTTGTCTCCATGTATTGCTTGATTTCTGTTTTCATTTTTTCATTGATCCATTAATTATTTAAAAGCATGTTGTTTAGCCTCCACATGTTTGTATGTCTTTTTTTTTTCTTTGTGTAATTTATTTCTAGTTTCATACCATTGTGGTCTGAGAAGCTGCTTGATACAAGTTCAATCTTTTTGAATTTATTGAGGCTTTTCTCGTGGCCTAGTATGTGATCTATTCTGGAGAATATTCCATGTACACTTGAGAAAAATGTGTATCCTGTTGTTTTTGGTTGGAGTGTTCTGTAAACAATTGATGTAATATATTGTTCAGTGCCTTGGTTTCCTTATTTATTTTCTGTCAGGTTGATCTGTCTATTGATGTGAGTGGTGTGTTAAAGTCTCCTAGAATGAATGTGTTGCAATCTATTTCCTCCTTTAATTTGGCTAGTATTTGTTTTACATATTTAGGTGCTCCTGTGTTGGGTGCATAGATACTTATAGTGGTTATATCCTTTTGTTGGACTGATCCCTTTATCATTATGTCTCTTGTTACTTCCTTTGTTTTGAAAATCAGTTTTGTCTGATTTAATTACTGCTACTCCTGCTTTTTTCTCCCTATTACTTGTATGGAATATCTTTTTCCATCCCTTCACTTTTAGTCTGTGTATGTCTTTGGGTTTGAGGTGAGTCTCTTGTAGGCAGCATATGGATGGGTCTTGTTTCTTTATCCATTCTGTCATTCTGTATCTTGTGATTGGTGCATTCAGTCCATTTACATTTAAGGTGATCATTGATAGATATGTACTTCTTGCCATTTTATTAATTGTTCTCTGTTGTTTTTTATATCTCCTCTCTGTTCTTTTTTCCTGTCTTATATTCTCGTTACTGATGGTTTTCTTTAGTGTTGTAATGGATTTCTGTCTGTTTTTAAAATTTATTCTTTTTGTGTGTATGTATTTATTGTAGGCTTTAGTTTTATGGTTACCCAACGTTCAATGATAGCTTCTTTAGTATATAATAGTCTATCTTAAATTGCTGATTACTCTATTTCAAACACAATCTAAAGGTCCTTTTTTTTCTTTTTCTCCTTCCTCCTCCACATTTTTTGTATTAGGTGTCATAATCTGCATTTTTTTATCTTTCCCTTGACTGATTTTGTGTATAGTTGATTTTGCTTCTTTTGTTTTAATTTTGTACTCACTTAGTAATTAGTTGGTCTACTTTTACTGTGTATTTATTTTCGCTGGTGAAAGCTATTTAGTGTTAGGGTATTTCCATCTTCCATCTATAGCAATTCCTTTAACATATCATGTAAGACCGGCTTAGTGGTGGTGATGTCCTTCAACTTTGTTTATCTGGAAATCATTTAATCCTTGCCTCAAATTTAACTGATAATCTTAGCCAGGTGGAAGATTCTTAGTTGGAGGTCCTTTTGTTTCAGTACATTAAATATATCATGCCTCTCCCTCTGTCCTGTAGAGTTTCTGTTGAGAAATCTGCTGATAGCTTGATGGGATTTCCTTTATAAGTAATATTTTCTCTCTCTCTGGCTGCTTTCAACACTCTCCCCTTATCCTTGATCTTTGCCATTTTAATTATTATATGTCTTGGTGTTGTCTTGCTGGGGTTCCTTTTGTTAGGAGATCTCTGTGCTTCCATGATGTGAATGTCTATTTCCTTCCCCAGATTGGGAAAATTTTCAACAATTATTATCTTAAAGAGACTTTCTACCCCTTTATCTTTCTCTTCTCCTTCTGATAATCCTAGTATGTGAGTATAGTTTCATTTGGATTGGTCATATAGCTCTCTCATTATTCTTTCATTCCTAGAGATCCCTTTTTCACTGTTTCTCAGCTTGTTTTCCTGTTCTATAATTTCTATTTCATTTACCATCTCCTTTACATGATCTAATCTGATTTAAAATCCCTCCATTGTATGTTTCATTTCAGATACTGTATTCTTCAGCTCCAAATGGCTCTTTTTCAGGTTTTCTCTCTGTTGATATCCTCCCTGAGATTGTGAATACTCTTCTGTAAACCTGTGAGCATGTTTATGACTTTTATTTTGAAATCTTTATCAAGAAGATTGATGATCTCTGTTTCATTTATCTCTCTTTCTGGGGTTCTCTCTTGTAGTTTTGATTGGATCAGATTCCTCTGCCTGCTCATTTTGTCAGGGATTCTGTGTTTCTTCCTTTGTATTAGATGTCTCTGCTATGCTTTCTGGCCTATAGAGTAATAGCTTTATGAAGAAGATTTGCTATGGTGCCCAGAAACTCAAGATTCTTTATTGTCTAGTGCCTGGTTCTCTTTTACAGGGGCCCCAGTGGTTGGCATGCTGTGGGCAGGGCGCCTTTCTGTCTGGCTTCTGTAGTGGTCTAAGTCTGGGTGGGAAGTTTGCTTGAGCTGCTGTCTTTGTGATCAGCTCAGGAATCTCTGTGAGCTCTCTGTGGGTGGGGCTGCCTGGCCTGCAGCAGTGGCAGGGCTGTAGGGTTAATAGGGTGGGCAGACTGATATGCTGTTCCCAAGCTGGACACACATCACTGGGTTTGGACAGCATCAGGAAGGAAGGAGCTGTTGGGCCTGGCTCCTCCAGGCACTTGTCTGGTTGGGCTGAAATGGAGCCAAGCAAGCTGGGAGAGCCTCCCTCTACTTGCCACACAGCAAAGTCTGATTCTGCTACTGGGCCAAGTGGGTTGGTTTCTGGCAGTACTAATGGAGGTGCCTCGTGGTTGTGTTGCCAGCAAGGGGGATGAAGCATCTGGAGCTCCTGAGAGTTCCCAATCTGTTGGGTAGAGGAAGGGTTGGGGAGGTATCCCCCACTTGCCCTTTGTCCTAAGGAGAGAGTTCTGTCCAACCCTCATTATTCCTGATAACCCTCCCACTGCTGGCAAGTCTTTCAAACTGCTGCCTCTGCTTTGGGTCCCAGGACTGGTGGAGCATGTTTTCCCTCCACACTGGCTAGAGTCTCAGTCTCCCAGGGTGTTCCATCTGCGCTTGGTGTCCAGTCCTGATAATCACCAGAACCCAGTGTAATGTAGGCTTGTGCTCCCTGAGCAGATCTCCAGGCCAGGTATGCAGCGCTCCTGGTTTCCTACCCCTCCCTGCTCCGTTCCTCTTTCTCCCACCTGTAGGTTGGTGTGTGGGAAGGGCTTGGGTCCCGCTTGATCTTGGCTTTGCTGCCTAACCATTTCCTGCATGGTCCTCTCTTCTGCCTCATGTGTTGCGGTCTGTTCTGCAGTTTTCAGTTCCTTTGCAGGTCTAGTTATGTTTGCTGTATTTTCCTCTTTTATGTGTTTTTGGGAGGAGGTTTCTGTCTTGCCTTCCTAATCTGTCATCTTTAATCTGATCCTGAATACTGAGTTCTTTAATTCAGAAATTAATTCAGTTAGAATTAAATACACAAATGTTAGCTTCATAAGGAGCAGATTTAATTTGTTATCTGAATTAACCCTCTTAAAAGTTGTAGACAGTGAAAATACGAGGAGGCAGATAAGCAAAGCTGCCGTATTTTGAAAGAAGAAAAACATTTACTCACTCTGTGAATGTGGATGTTACAGGTTGCAAAATTAAATGATGCTGAAAGGGAACTCACTGAAATTTCTGAGAGACTGAAAGCCTCAAGCAAAGGTAAGGTAATATCTCATGAAATATCCATGGAGCATCTGCCATATGTAGTGCACTGCTACGCCCGGAGGCTCCATTGGTTAATAAGATATGTCAGACAGAACATGCGGCCTTTCTAAGGAGGAACATAGCATTTTAAAAATAGAAAGAACATTATAAATTATTTGATTTAACCTCTTTATTTAATAGATGAGGGGAATGTAACCCATTGAGGCAAAGCAATATCCCAAGTCTCCCAGCTATAACCTGTTTCCATTTTCCTAATATCAGTAATGTCCTCTGTCCAGTTTTATATTAGTGAGTTTTCAAGGGAAACTTCGGCTGAATTAAAAAAATTTTAGGGCCATCTTTCTAAACATGTATTATCCCTTTCTTGGACAGCTCTCTCAGAGTCGCCATCTCAGGACTCTTTAGATGCATTCATGTCAGAAATGAAATCTGGCAGTGCATTAGATGGTGTGTCTCGGAAGAAACTTCACCTGAGAACTTTTGAACTGAGAAAAGAACAACAGAGACTTAAAGGGTTGATAAAAATTGTAAAGCCAGCAGAGATTCCAGAACTGAAAAAGTAAGTCTCAGTTATACTTGAATTTTAAATAAACATCTTTGCATAGATAAGACTTGATTTATAGCTTTATTTTCTTAGATAGTCACTACAGAATAGAAATAAAATATAAAAAGCCCTTTACAGAAGGCAGTGGTTTCATTGAGTAACCTATGTCATTGGTGAAATGTAGCTGGCTACAAGATTCTTTTTTTTTGCTGCCACAGGATTTTTAAAGAAAACTATTGATTCCTATTTCATTGGAAGGCTCTGAACTTTTTATATCATCTTTTAGGACCAAGTAGACCTCCTAAAGAGTTACATGCACAAAAGGCTAATTTCTCTAGTGTATAAAGATCTATGAATGATAAGTACACAACCATCCACCAAAGAGAAAAATGGGCAAAGGTTAAAAACTAACAGGCTGCTGAAAAAGAAACACATAGCTCTTAACTATGTAAAAAGGTGCTCAACCTCACTTGTAATAAGAGAAATACAAATACTAAAATGAAATACCATCTTTTGTCTATTATTTTAAAACCACAAATGAAAAGATTTGAGAGTGTCATTTTAATGCCTGTATCTGTCACTCTTAAGAACCAGTTGACAATTGCTGAATATATTTTAATACTTTTTTTAAAGTGGAATTTTTTCCTTTAAAAGGGGAAAAACCATAATCCCCTGAAGTTGATTTTGTTAACTTTGGTTTTGGGGAAGTTACTGAAAGAGGTTAAACCAAATCCATTTGCAGACATATAGAGGATTTTTGAGTAATTCATACACAAGATTTTGATGATAATTTGCCTGTGGACTTGGCTAGTATTTATTAGTGGGTGTGGGTATGGGTGTGTGGGTTGGCCAGTGTTGGGGGTGTGTGTGTGGAAGAGAGATCCAATCTTTCAACTTGACAATATTTAAAAATTTTACTCTATGTGGTCTCAACAGGCTTTGAAAATGTTGAGTTGTTTGTTGTAGAAATAAGCAGCCCCCAAGGAGCATAATCCAGATGGGCATCTCAAAAAGTGGTACTGCCTAGATGGGCACAATCACCAGTGAAGGTAGTTAACTGTAGAAAGTTTCTTGTTTTCTTTAGATCTGTGCTGTCTAGTATAGTCACATATGGTATTGAAATTAAATAAAATAAAAAATTCAGTTCCTCAGTCACACTAGCCACATTTCAAGTGCTCAGTAACTTCATGTGGCTAGTGGTTACTGTATTGGACAGTGCAGGCATAGGATATTTCCATCTTTGCAGAAAGTTCCATTGGACAGCACCACTTTAGATTGTCAGGAAGCATTTATTCAGCCCCTCACCACTGTGTACAAAACCTGTAACTTGATGCTGGGGGCACTGCCTAGAGCACTATCTAGATACTGAGGCCTACCTCTTCATACTGAGATGTAGAGAGAAAATATTTTTGGAGCCCTTGATCATTTATCCCCAGAATTACTGGGTTTGTTCAGAGGATTTATCCCCAAATTATGAGTTTTGTTTAAAGATTTTGTGTAGTTTGGATATTTAATACAGTAACTCATAGATCAGTCCAAATTATTTTTGAGTTACCAGCAGTGAGGAGGCAGGTTAGCAGAGTTAGACTTCTGGGGTTTCCTTCTCAGCTGTATCAGTTACTTTTGGGCATTTTGAGTCAAGTTATGTACCTTCTCTGATCTTCACTTTCCTCGTCTGTAAATTAGAGGTAATGATGTCACAAGGGTTAAATGGACAGCACTTCCCCAAGTGCTGACAGGTACCTGTCATTGTTGTCATCATTGTCATAAGTCTTCCCATTTCTGTTATTCCTAGCAACTATTTGTAACACCATTTTTGTGGAGAAAGGTAAAAACTCAGGAGGCATAGTCCAGGGGAAACAACTGAACTGTTTTACTTCCAGCTCTGCAGGGCCGACTTGTCAAGTTAAAAATTACAAGTTGTTCTGAGCTAGAAGACATATATCAGCTTCCTCCAGAGCTGCCCCTCCTGATGTCTGTGTGCCTGCCTAGTTTCTCCTCCCTTTCCTACTTTAGATACTGGCTTTCAGATGCTGTGTGTCTTTTCCCTCCTCGTCTTACTTGAGGGTTGAACATCCAAACTTCCTACCTAACTCCATCCCCACCCCTAACAGGCAACTCTTGACTGTGACTCCATCGTCTGCTTTTTCATTTCCTTTGGGTGTCTTTGCATGTCCTTCATGCCAGCCAGGCTATGTAATGGAGCTGAAAAATATCTGTTGCTCTTGCCTTTGTCTTTCTGTGCCAGAACCATTCTGAGGCCTGTGGGGAGGGGCTGTGGAGGGGCTGTGGAGGATAATGATTTGGCAAAGGGTCTTTAAGACCAGGCAGGCAGGATTCCTCTGGTGGCCTTAGCAAGGCAATGGTCTGTCCCTGGAAAAGAGAAGGGAGTGAGGCTAGGCCCAAGAGCACTGCTGAGGGGGTGAGGCTTAGATAAAAGCAGGCAGTAGTGGCAAATGAGGCTTCCAGGCGGAGCAGGGTAGTCGGTGTCTTGTGTGGGTCACTGTAGTCAGGAGGGCCGGTGCTGTGCTCACATTCCAGAATGTAGGGCTGTCCTGTGGTCAGTGTGAAGAAAGCATAGGGCTTTCTTCCTTTGTCTCCTCACGTTATCTAATCATTGTCACCTCTGCTTACTCTCTAAAGGTCTTGTCAACTCAGCTGCCACCCTTTTTGTTTTTGCTCTGTTCTTTTTTCCTTTTCTGTTCCTCTTTTCTAATTTCCACAATCTCGTTTTGTTCTCCTCAGCTTTGCCCTCGTGGGCTTAGCTTTTGTAACTGTCCAGCCAGTGAGAATGTTGACAAGCTCACCAATTGTACAGTCTCTCATGTCTTCCTCACTTCTCACTACACAGGGTGTCCTGCTTCTTGCCCCGCCACACACTTTTTTTTAACTTCTGTGCTCAGGGCTGTTGTGTGTGGTTACAGTAAGTGTGGCCTCCAGGTAAGTTAGGCACTGTGAGTCCTCTTCAGAAGTTGGTGGATAATAGGGCTTTTCACCGTTGATCTATATCCTGCCACTTAGTGGGGATGGGTGTCATGCATATATGTTCTTTTGCCAGTGACCTTTGTACTGGAAGGTTCAGTTTATGAATGTGAAGTCACGTAGCATGTTGTAGTTTGCTAGACTGAGGTAGCCGCCTCATCTTGCCCATAATAGCTCTGTGATGTTCAGCATGTTGTCTTCCATTCAAACTCTGCTAGCCTGAATGCCTCTTTTTTCTCGTGTATGCGTAGATGCTCATTTTGTGGAAATTTTTGTTTTGCCAAAAGTTTCCTTGTCAGTGCCATGATGTTTTTAGATAAAAATTGGCCTCACTGGAATAGATATATATAATTATTCTTTCTTCCTAGGACTGAAAGTCAGGCTACAGATGCAGAAAACAAAGCTAAAAAGCTTACATTGCCTCTCTTTGGTGCCATGAAAGGAGGAAGCAAATTCAAATTAAAAACTGGAACAGTAGGGGTAAGTTGTGGGTCAGGTTGTTAAACTTTTAGCCCTTGAGTTATTTTGAGCTAATTTTACTCTTGTCAAAGCTCAAACGACTCATTCTGTAGGAATATGAAAAAGCTGTGTGGGCTTGGTGGGGTCGCATGTTTCCCAGGACTCAGTTCTTGGGTTTTTCTCGGTTTAGGATTATCAAGAATTGATGAATCAATTCATGCCAATCAATTTGCATGTAAATGACTTGTAAATTAGGACACCATTTTGTTCATTGGTGGTGAATGTTGCATTTAAAAAAGGGTGTCCTGCCTTAAATCCTTTTTTCCTGGTAGATAGATGTTGTAATATTTCCTCAACTGGTATTTGTTGGTAACAGTCTAATGCACCTGGCTCTGCTATGTGGTTTTCCTTACTTCATTTAATCCTTCCAACACCTTATGATATGGGCAATTAATACTTCTCACAGGTGAGGAAATGGGGTCAAAGATGTCAAATAAAAGATCATACCATCATTAAGTAACTAGACTGGTCATCAAATCCAGGTCTTCTGTCTCTTGAATTTTGTGATCTTTCAGCTATCCTCTAAGACTTCACTGATTAATGCTTTTGCTTTCTGTACATCCCTATTAAAGATTCAGCTTTTAAAAGGTTTTCATCACCCTAAGGAGTCGAACCTTGTGTATTAGTGTGCTTGAGCTGCCAAAACAAAATACTACAGACTGGCTTAAACCACAGAAATGTATTTTCTCACAGTTCTGGAGGCTCGGAGCCCAAGATCCATGTGCCAGCAGGGATGCTCTCCTCTGAGGCCTCTTTCCTTGGCTTGGGGATGGCTGCCTTCTTGCTGCCTCTTCACATGGGTACCCCTCTGGGCACATGCATCCCCTGATGTCTCTCCCTCTTATAAGGACAAGAATAATTATATTAGGGCCCCACCCTAAGAGTTTTATCTGAACTTAATCACCTCTTTAAAAACCTTATCTTCAAATACGGTTTCCTTCTGAGTTGGTTGGGACTTCAACATATGAACTGAGGAGACACATTTCAGCCCACATCTTCAATTAGGGTAAACTGCCCTCTGGTGGCAGAGGTTTGAAGTCCCAGCCCCATGTTCTGAGTAACTATGTAGTTTACCCGAAATGGGGCTTTTCTGTGGTGGTAGGCGGGTGGGATTACTTATGTTAGGAGAGAAACTCTTTATGAAAAAGCTCTTCTTAGAGGATTACTGAGCTAAACCCTATATTTAAAAATCATATAAAAATTATACACATATACTTTGGTAACCTTTCTATTCCTTAAGCTGTGATCAACTTTTCTAATAATTACTTTTATTGGGAGGTCTTGATTACAGTATTGGCCTTATTCTTCAAGAAATATCTTTCTTTTCTTCAGGATTTGTTTTACTGATAGACATGTCTTATTTCTTTGAAATTGTATTAAATCTAAAATGAAAAAGCTGCACAAATGGTTTATTTCTTATAAGTGTGTGTCTGATCTCCTTGAAGATTTTATAGTGAATTAAGATCCTTTAACATTATGAGGATGGAGTAATAGGACAGAATTTCTGCAACTGGTACTCACATGGAATAAATGTTTTAGTTCCCTACAAGCTTCAAGTGTTTCATACTTAACATTCTTTTGACCCTAGAAACTAATAAAGATACTTGTTAAGGATCCATAGATGGATAAAATTTCCTGTGAAAATCCTATTTCCAGCAGACTTGTCCAGGATGTATCAACCTAGAGAGGTTAGATATTCTGTATGTGTAGCTTAACCCCCTGGAAGAGCTCGGTCTGTTTATCATTATGTAGAACTACTTGTTCATGTTTTTTGTCCCTCATAGAAGTTACCCCCCAAGCGTCCAGAACTCCCTCCAACTCTGATGAGAATGAAGGAAGAGCCTGAAGTAGAAGAGGAGGAGGAAGAGGAAGAGGAAGAAGAGAAAGCAAAGGAGGAACATGAAAAGGAAAAACTGGAGGCCGGGAGCAGTAGGCTGCAGCAGGAGACAGGGCCAGAAGCAGCGCCAGAAATGAGTCTTCTCACAGATCTCTCACGTCCTAAAGAAGCAAAAAACCATGGTAATATGTTTCCCTTCCTTCCTGCGTTATTCAGTGGGACATTTGCATTAATTGTGGGTAGGTTTGAAAAAGGAAAGCCAGTTCTTGCCTGTGCATTTTAACTTTGTGATACTTTGTGATAGTGACATAGCTGACTATGGATACATACTGTCTTGGTCTTTCTTTGCCTGCCAGTCATTTATCCTCATGGCAAAATAAGGGCAGTCATTTCCAGTCTATTCCAGAATTATAGAAAATTGAAAGCTGTGGAATTTGAAACCACAATTGCTGTGGAACAACCTTGAGCTGCTGCCACTGTATGATTGGAGGGTGGTGGAATAGGGCAGGAGATGGGGCCTGATCAGGGGGCACTATGATAAGCTTCCCCTTACTCATTTTTATCCCCCATCTCTACAGCAGAAGCATAATTGTACCCACTGGACATACTGCTCAGGAAGCATCATGCCTTATTCATCTTTTTGTCCATGGTACCTAGCCGAGAACCTGGCACATAGTATTCACCCACCTCAGCAAAAGTTTGATGAAAATGATGAATGAGGGAATTGATTGGTTTATAAATATATTCTCTTTTGATTATAAAGGAAATATATGTTCATTTTAGAAACTTTGGATTATATAGAAAAGTTCAAAGAAGGAAAGAGAATTCTTCCACAATCCCACCCCCATACACCTTGTTTATCTTTTTAGTGTCCTCTTATTCCTTGTCAGCTGCAAGAGCTATTTTCCTGCAGGTTAGCCAAACTGCTTAGCAACATTAAGACTACACAGAAAATACAGAGCATGAGGAAAAATGAACAAACTGGCATTAAATGTGTACGGGAATGTGTACGTGTCTACTTCCAAAAAAACCAGGCTTGTCTACATCGAAACACCCGGCCTGGCCTGTAGACCTCCTCTTGCATCGCCTCAGTTGTGTGAGAAACAGAAAAGTTAGTTTCCTCATCTGTGAGAGGGAAATCTTTTGTTTTTGCATCCCCTTTTGTTTAGTTATTGGCGAAGTGCTTGGCATTTTCATAAGAGGCACTTATGCATCCCTTTTCTCTGACTTTGGTTCTTTGATCCACACATTGTAAAGGTAGTACAGAAGCATACTGGCAGGAAGGGGAGCAGTAAGTATTGTATTTCTTTGTTTAAGGGACCAAAGTAAATGTTTGTGTAAAAATAGCAGATTTTAAAATAGGGTTGATAAGATACATTGGTTGATCTGTAGCTGATTAGGGATTACTCCAGGCCTTTTTTTTAAAACAATAATATTGGGATTGTATTGTATGTACTATTTCATAGCCTGTTTTTTCTGTCTTAAAATAATCTTTTAAAATGTGGTTTTAATAAGAGGCATAGTTGTCCATCACATGCATGTGCTGTAATTTACTTACTTAATCAACTCCCTATTGTTACACATGTGAGTTATTTGTTAATTTTTGCTATTTTAAATGTGTTTGTATATAATTTTGGTGCTCATCTCTGATTATTTTCTCTGAGTATGTTCTGCAAGTAGAACTGCTAAGCCAAGGAATATGTACATATTTAATTAAGCCTTTGGTAAGTATTGTTAAAAAAGTTTTACCTCAGAGTTGGCCAGTTTTTAAAGTGGAAAATTGGTGATTGTCTGTTAGACATCTGGAGGTACTTTTATTGAAAACCTAATTAAGGTTGGTTGAAGCTAATGATAGTAAAACTGGATGATTATGTATGTATTTAACTTTTCTTGTATTTTTTTTGTTGTTGTTGTTTGTTTTCTTGGTTCCTGGCCACAAATTTAATAATAAAAATATGCTTTGGTTCTTCCTTTTATAGAAAACATGTCTCAACTCAGCCTAGTAGAGCAGAATAAAGATTATCAAGAGGTTAACGAAACAACTGCATCATGTGAGGAACCCTCAGGCAAGTAGTACAGCTGACTCTGGGGCTGCTCTGCACCCCTGCAGCCAGCGGGTGTCGTAGAGGAGGGGCTGGCCGCTGACTTCAAACAGCACAAGAATGGCCCATCAGCACTGGGTAGATGCTGCCAGGGCCCTGGGCAGAATTGGAATATGAAAGGTTTATGTTTGGTGCCATCCCATTTGCCTCTCTTGACTCCCACCTTCAGGGTTCCCTTTCCCTGACCCGCAAAGTACCTGATGTGTTCATGCATTTTTCTGGCCGTTGCATAACCCTTCACAGTTTTACATCTCCCAGAGCTGAATATGTGCCTATCATGGAAGTGATTCCAAAACTATTAAAGAAAATTGGTTGAAAGGTTAGCCTATTAAAAGGACTATTTTTTTTCCCTCTCTGTTTTTCTACTGCTTTTAACTGTAATGGTTAAGCTAGGATAGTAGAGTCAGCCCCATTTTCCTCTATGTTTTCAAATGGTGTGATTATATTCAAGCTTGTAGAATAGCCTTAGGATTTGAAAACTATGGCTATTAGCAAATGGAAAATTCTTTCCTAACATAGTCTTTATAGCAATACAAGGAACTTTTGAGAATTTGATTGTTATAAGTTTTCTTTGATAATTATAATGCTCTCTTAGAAGGAATTTTTCCTTTCTATTTTACTTATTCTGAAATAGCTTTTGCCTCTTTTTTTTCTTTTTCTTAAATTATTATCAGAGAATGAACAGGAGAAAAGCAGAGATGAACCGAAGAAAAAGAAAGCTCCTGGTCCAGGCAGCGTAAGTACTTTAGTCATAATCTTCACTTCTCTGGGAGTAAAAATGAATCCCCTTGTCAGGAACCACATCAAGAAGAGTGAATCTCTAGGGACTGTCTTAGCAGAGTTCCCAACTGCCTTATACTCCCTCTTCTAGAAGTCTGAACTCTTTTTTATTTCGGTTTTTGAATTTTTACTTTTTGAATGCTCTTTTCTTGTCTCCATCTACCCTATTCCCTACAGCTGTTCATATACCTCTCATTAATTTCTGAATCTTTTGTTGTATCCTAGTATGCCATACAAAGACATTTGAATAATATATTCTTGTTTTCCTCTTTTTATTATATAGAAGGTAGAATGTAAGTACTGCATTCCACATCTTGATTTTGTTTTACCCATCATGGAAATCATTGTATGTCAGTACCCTAAGAGTTTCTTACTGTATGGACATATTTGGCCTGTTCACTATAGATGGACACTTGAGTTGTTTCTATTCTTTCATTATAACAGTGCTATAATGAATAACCATGTGTATACATAATTTTGTATGGGTACAATAAGAGAGATGGCTGGGTTGTGTCAGGAGATCCCTAAAATCACCTTCAGGCTAATAATTCACTAGATGCCTCAAAGGACTCAGCATGTTGTTGTACCCACAGCTGTGGTTTACTACAGTAAGAGGATACCAAACACAGTCAGCAGAGGGAAAAGGCACATGGGGTGGTTTTTGAGGAAACCAGGTATAAGCTTCCAGTGGGAAGGAACTCACGCAACATGTGCTCAGTTCCTCTGGCAACAAGTTACGACAACTTGTGAAATGTTGCTTGCTAACTAGGAACACTCACTAGAGACTCATTAGTGCCCAGGATTTTTAAAGACTGATCACATAATCACTCCCTACCTGGCATGTACCCAAATTTCATTCTCTGAGAAAAAAAGCAGATATTCAGCATAAACCACATTGTTTTTACAAACAAAAGTTTAGGCACAGCGAGCCACTCTTACCAGGTAGAGTAGTGGGAGCCTTCCTGTAATCCAAGTTCCCAGATGCCATCCAAGGGCCAACCTTGCAAATGGGCCTTTCAGAAGATAGCAGTCAGGCCTGCTGTGTAGCTCTTCTGCACCTAGATCAAAAGGCAAATGCCAGATTTCCCTCCATGGCAGTTACGCATTTAGTATTCATACCTGTGTTAATTGTCCCTTTTAAAAAGCATCATTCTCACTGGCTGCAAATCAGCTTGTTTAGGTTTTATGGAAAAAAAATCAAGGTTCAGAGAGAGAATGTTCCCCCGTTTTTTGTTTACTTACATCAAGATCAGTAATGGAAACTGTTCTCTTAGTTTCTGTTTGTTGACAGGCATAGGGCTGATAATTGTTTGAGTTAAAATTCTTTGGAATAAAATAACCTATCTTTTCTCTGCAGCTTCCGCCAATACTTTCCTCCAAATATCCAGAAGATGACCCAGACTACTGTGTGTGGGTGCCCCCTGAAGGTAGATTGTTTTTACTTTTCTTTCCCTCCAGGATTTATTTGTTTATATTTCTGACTAGGTAACACACATTTAAGGTTCAAAAGAAGAAAATTATAAGAGTATTGGAAAAGTCTCCCTTCTGGGGGAACAGGTAGAAATTAAAAGATCTAAAGAGAAGTACCAGCCAACTATAATTTGTGGACTCTTATTCAAACAAACAACTGTTAAAAAAATGATAAGCCAGTCAGATAATTTTTAACACGAGCTAGACATTTGATGATGCTAGGAAATTATTGTTAGTTTTTTTAAAAGTATGAATGTTGTTGAGTTACGCTTTTAGGAAAAGTCCTTATCTTCTAAGAATATGTACAGAAGTGTTAACGAATGGAATGATATCTTGGATTTGCCTTAAAATAATCCAGGGGTGGATAAGGGAAGGTAGGGGAGTGTTAATAGATAAAACAGTTATTTGCCACTTCCTGATAATTGTTAGAGCTATGTGATGGGTGTATGGAAGTTCATTATATTTTTCTCTTTACTTTTGCATATATTTTAAATTTACAGTGAGAAAAAAATCTTCTGGCTGTGCCTTAGCTACTCAGTTTTTTCCCTGAAAAGACAACCAAATATTGGTTTCTTATGACTTCTTATATATATTATATAAAATGCCTATGCTAGGAAAAAATACATAAAATTTCACCACTGTTTTATACAAATGGAAGCATATTCTCTACATTGCTGTTTTATACTTCCCATTATATGGAGATTCTTCCATAGCTATTCTTAGATTTCTTGTTTGTTTTTTATGATAGCATATTGTTTTTTTATAGTATGGATATATCTTCACTTATTTAACCAGGTCCTTCAATGAATATTTCTGTGTTTCCAGTCTTTTGCCATCATGAACAACTCTGCAATAAATTAATAACCTCTAACATATGTAATTTTGCAAGTGTGGAGGTGCATGTGTAGAAAAAAATTCATAGAAAGTAACATGTTGGATCAGAGGCTATGAACATTTTTAGGATATTCTATATTGAATTTTATAGAGATTGTACCAGTTTATGTTCATACATAAACCCTTATGGCAATATATGACATACTTGTTTCCCCATATGCTCATCACAGGTTGCTTTTTTATGGATTTGGTTTCTAATATACTAGTAGTAAATAGAATTTAGTTGCTTTTTATCTGCTAATAAATGTTAGGGTAGAACTGAAAAGAGGACCATCTTTTGACATTATATACAGTAAGTTAGATTTCTGTCAGAGAAGAAACCTCTTCGTCTGTTTCACTTTTTGGCCTACTGTTGTCTGGACATCTTTTTCCTCCTGACTTTGGAAAAGTGAATGTATTTCTTTCTTTCTTTCTACCCTGATCTAGGCCAAAGTGGAGATGGCAGGACCCATCTTAATGACAAATATGGCTATTGATTTCTTCAGAATCCTAAAGGAAGACCTTGTGGACCATGTGACATGGGATATCTAGGACAATATACTAAGTTGAATGTCCAGAGGAGTTCAGATGATCATTTGTAGAATCTGGTGACTGCCTTTTCTTCTATGCCCTTGGCTTCCTAAATTTATCTACCCATCTGATTCTCTTGAATTTGGTATTTATGTTTAAAAGTGTTTGTGTATGTGTGCAAAAAAGTAACCATATATTTTGAGAACTGGTAAAGTTAGAGACATGACTCTATTAAAATGAGAAGGTGAAAATGTCTCATATTTATTTAAGGCCACAATGTTTTTCATTAAGCTTTGGGGGCTATGCTTTTCCTGAGCAATAGGGTACTTCTGGGAGTTAGTCTGTAGGGTTCACTGATGTTGCCTCCTAGATGAGTGTTGAAATATGAGATCATGTCATGGCTGTGACCCTCGTTGTCCCTGTCATTCTGAGGACTAAAAATAGATACACAGAGGGGGCTTGCTATTCCCTCCCACTATAATGCTCCCACTATAATGCTCCTGCCGGGTTTGAGAACAGACCCTTACTTACCAGGACACAATTCGGGACTGTAGCACACCTCGTGCACTCAGGCACTATTCCTGATAAAAACTCAGCTCTCCGAAGATCTGACCAGTCGGACTGGTCACTCTTCCTCTTGTGGAAAGGTGCAAATGAGGTCACAGAATGAAAGGTTGGGACTTCTCTGTGGGACTTGTCACCTGTATGGGGAGGGGAATTAAAGTTCCTTTCTCTCTGGAAACATGAAGAAATGCGAGAAGGTGTCTTACTGCACACCTCCCCACCCTGCAGTCATTAATACCTCACTTCCACAAGAAAGGAAAGCCTAAGAGGGGAGGCAGGGGAGAGAGCTTGTGGATCTGCTGGTGGTAAGGCTCGGCAAAAGGGCGAATGAGAATGATGCGTCCCTAGTATGGATTATACTGTAGGTAGGCCAGAGGTGGTGATGAGAAACTCCAGTTTCCCTGACAGATGTGGGAAGTCTGGTCTGCTAAAAGTGGTAAGTCTTCATTTCATAAGACAAAGAAAATCTATTAGCATTATGAGAAACTGTTATTTTGGACTTCATTTAGACCAACAGAGAAGAACCTGTTGATGATGTAAGAAGTGACAGGAATATAGGGGCAGAATGGCTGTGCCATCCTGGACTATAACAGTAGACAAAGCTCTGAGCCAGGTCAGTGGTCTTCAAACTGAAACTTTATTCAAACAATTGTATGTGGGATCCTAATACTTGAAAAAGGTAAAAATATACCTGCTGTGGTTGAAGTGAGAACACGGAGATTGTATCCACACACACACACACACACACACACAGACACATGCACACATCCTCACTACTTTCAGTGACCCTAAGGAATTCTAAGGGCTCCACAGAGCATAGTTGGCTTTAGGAAGGCAGATTGCTAAATGTTCTGGGGATTGCAGATATGGTCCCATGTCTAGAGACCCTGAAATAGGACTCCATATGCCAAAATAAAATATAAATTTGTAACTTGTATAATTAACATCAGTGGTCCATGGGCTTGATTCAAGAAACTTGCACATGAGTCTTAGCTCCCCTTTACTGAATAAGAGAGTTGGGGGATATGACTTAAATTCTCTGAACATCAATTCTGTCATGTGTGAAGCAGAAATTGATTTGTTCTAAGGATCAAATGAGATAATGTAGATGGATATGCTTTACAGGGCTTTGTAGATACTAGTAGTTGTCTTTCATTACAAGAAAGAGACACGTCCTGGCATCTGGGCCAACTCCTCATCTGTGAGAGAGGAGACTGGGTCAGACAAGTGATTCGCAACTGTGGCTGCATATTAGGATCATCTAGGGAAAATACTTAAGTTTTTAATTCCAAAGTTGGGATCCCACCTCATCAGTTTAATAAGAATCCCTGAAAGGATCCCTTTTAAACGCACTCCAGGTGATTTAATGTGTAGCCTGTCATGGGGATCCTCTAGAGCATGGTCAGCAAAACTTTTCTGTTAACGGCTAGGTATTTTGGGCTTTGCACGCCATACAATCTGTGCCACACTACTCAGCTCTGCTGCAGGGGTGCAAATGGCATAGACAATACACGAATGAGTGTGGCTGTGTGCCAACGAATATTTATTTACAAAAGTAGGTGGCAGGTCAGATTTGGCCTGTGGGCTATAGTTGGCCAAAGCCTGCTCTAGGTAATTTTCATCTTCAAGGTATCATCTGGGTCAAGATGTTCTGTATAAGATATGTTTAGGAAGTAATGTGTGTCCCAGTTCATGGATATTTGGAAAGTTTCTATTCAAAAGGCTAATTATCACCCCCCTGAACTATATGGGTTACAGTTTTATGATTATCCAATCAAAGTAATCCCATCTCCTTTTCACAGAAACAAAAATAAGGTTATTAGTCATTACAAAATACTGTTATTACAGCAGGAACACAGTAGGTTAATTAAAAGCAAGGTATTTTTAGTCAGCTGCCCTGGCCACCTCCCAAGTTCTGTATCATATCATATCTGCCTTCATGTTTAAAAGGCAAGGGGAAGCCTCTGGAACATTAGCAATAGTGAAATGATCAGATTTGGATTTTTAGAAAAACACTCCAGCTACAATGTGGAGGGGGGATGGAAGAGGGCAAGAGAATGCTGAGAGGCCAGTTAGGAGTCTGCTCTATGGCATGCTGTATTAAGTGGAGATCGAGATGCAAAGAGGTAAATGGGTCCTAGCAATATTTTAAAAAGTAGAATGGCTGTGACTGAGTGACTGAATGTCTGGGAGTGAAGGGGAAGGAAGGGTGGGGGGTGATTCCTACTTTGCTGGCTTGTACATCTGAATGGGGGCTGGCGTCTTTCACTGAGATGAGGGGATGCTGGAGGAGGATGGGGTGGAGGTGGAGGGATTATAAATTCAATTTTGAACAAGTCAAGCTTGATGTCCCTTTGAGACATCTAATAAAGATGTCAAGAAAGCAGCTGGATACAGAGGTCTGGATCTCAGGAGAGAGGGCTAGGAGAACAGTTGCCATCTTCCACCAGGTGAACCCGAATCGGGGCACCAGCAGGTGGGGTTAAAGACCAGGTGGCAGGCAGGAATTTTGCAGGCAGACCTGTCTTGGACAGCTGATCTCTCTATCTTTGGTAATGGAACAAAGTTTTTCTTGGTTATGGGTACTCATTTATTGGTTGTCGGTGGGGAGGTGTAAAGTAAGTGCCACAGTGAGCAGCATTTTGGAGAGAAAGTGGGGTATGTATTTAACATTAAAACAAGTCTCTTTGTCCACTTTGGGTCATGTCTAAGGATTTTGCACAGTTCCTGATAACATTCAAATGCTTATTGAGTGCCTGCTATAAATATTTTCCCTGGAATTGTCCCAACTTAGGGTAGGAGGTACAAAGCCCCACTGCCTCTTTGTAGCCCAAGCCTTTACCCCTTACTACTTGGAACTGGATGGAGTTAGCTCTTTTGGGAAGTGACACAATTCCCAACAAATTTTGAAGCAAATTTTTGTTAGGTGCAGCCTGGGGATCTAATGCTTTACCACTGAAATGCTGCCACCTCCCGGATAGGGTGTGACAAGTAGCCAGCAGCTGTGGAAGGCTTCCTGAGAGTGGGAGCCAGAGGGAAGCCTGCCAGCCCTGTGGCAATCAAAAGCAGGAATCCAAGCCCCTGGAGGGGGCTGAGTTCCCAGAGAGGGTTTAGTCCAGCTCTGTTTAGACAAAACCAGGTTTGATGGCCTGCTGGGAAATTATATAAAACTCTCACTGACCTTTTGGGGGTGAGTCATGGCATCAAACTAGTATGGTCTTTTCTTGTGACAGGCCACTCTTTGATCCTGAGATTCCTCACTTGATGTGGCCATTGAGGACAATGTTCAAGATTTCTTCTTTGGTCTCTGAGCAGACTTTGTTCTGCTTTGGTTTTAGAGGTTTGGCACAACTGTGGTGGAGGGTGGGACTATGATTGCCATTCCAGGGGAGGTCTCCTCCCTCCATAGGCCTGGTATTGATGAGGCAGGTCAGAGGGCTCAGCACGTGAGGGAACAGTGGCTCCCACCAATGGCAGTTCGCTTGGCCGTACCTCATGACTCCAGAGATCTCCCTTCCGCTTATCTCTGCCTCATTAAACTCTCCTTCACTTATCTGAGTCATCCTAAAAGGCACCCTGAGTAGAAGTCTTTCCTCTGAAATCTTAAAACGTTCTCCATTATCCAAAGGGTAAGGTCCAAATCCATCTGAAGCTTCCAAATCCCTCATCACAGGTCCCTGTACTCTTTGATCCCCATAACACTCCCCGTGTGCCCTTGTTCCTTCTTTTCTGACCACCTGATAACTCTAGTAATAATAGATAACTTGTCCCAAACACACCATTTGCTTTTATTCCTGTATTTTCTCTCAAGACTTGCTGTCCACGGCCTTGAACCTCAGACCTCTATCATCTATTCAAGAGAGGAAGTTATACTTACCTGACAGTATTGTTGTAGGGATTAAATAACTGAGAGATCTGTAAAACCCTTAGCCATGCTTAATACATAACCAATTCCCCCAAAATGTAGTTCTGTTAGTATCATTGTGGTTTCCCTTGTTTATGCCTGCTGAGTAAGGTTCTGCTTATTTTTAAAAAGTACAGCATGAATCTTACTACCTTCAGAAAACCCTGATCCCTATGGTTGTCAAGCCCTTATAGCACTTTATTTTTACTTCTATGATAGCCCTTATGCCAGTGGCCTGATGTCTGTTAATTACATGTGTGCTTGGGTTATTTATGCTTGTAAATTTTTGAGTTCTTGAAGACAGGAATTATATGTCTTATTTTGTGCCCTGCCCTCACTCTGTAGCACCCAAGAGTTCACAAAATAGGTGCTCAGTTAACTGTTGCTTTAAATAGGTAGGGCTTGGAGGGTAGGTTCTAGTCCTGGCTCTTCCTTTCTTGGGTCTTGTAGGCAGAGAGGGTGTGCTTCAGGGCTGTCTTCATTTCCAGGACCTTGCTCTAAACAAGCTGGATAAAAACTGACTGTTTTAGTAGGGTTAGTGCAGACAGAGGCCTGGATTCCTGTCCTACTTGGGGCAAAACCAGGAAGAACTACCTCTTCCCGTCAAGGAGCTTGAGATTCCCGCAGCTGGATTTAATTTGGACTTTTAAGTCTTCTGTTGGCCTTGGAAAATCTTGATCTTGAGGGTTGGCTCTGGTTTCCTTAGGCTTGCACGCACACGCCTTCTAAAGTCAAGGCCACTGGGGCAGGGAGGAACCACGAGAGGGCAGTAAAGACCCGTTACTAAGCAGTCAATTTGAC